CGTTCAATAATCTAAAAGGTTATTTACTTACGGAGTTCAGAGCACGAATTCGTTACAGCAATTTTATCTTGTGGAGAAAGAAACCTATTATCAGTAGAGGTATTTCGGGCTTACCGAATCACAATAAAATTTACTATGCGACCATTTCATTCTTGAGCGAACGCAAAGGTATTATCCGAATTGATGTTACTTGTTGCGAGGTAGACACTTTTGGTGTACCCTGAGAGTCTTATATAAAATATATCGCTTAGACCTGAAAGAAGCATTTTTTTGCTTTTTAACTAAAGTTGTTTTTAAAAAAAGCTGTTAAAAGTTAAATACCGTGGGACGAGGTCGAATACATTTTTGTGCCTGTCTTACAGATAATTAGATGAAATACCCTTTTCCCACAGTGGGGCTTGGGGCAGGTTTAATATTCTGATCGATTTAATTAAAGGCAAGTTAATTAGACGTGTGCTCTGCCCGACCGAAACTATTATATTTTTCGACTTACTAACTATATTGTTCTATTCTGTTTTCCCAGAATTAAAAATTAGAACAGCTGAATGCGTTAGTAAGAAACGGCTAATAATCAAATAATTGTAGTTTTGATCACCACCGGATGCAATATTTTTCAATTAATTTATTATGTTTCTGAAACATTGACTTTGTCTGGAAATCTGGATATAAATGCGTGGTAGAAATATCGAAAATCCACCACGGTCACAAACCACTGTGCACAGATGAAAAAGCCGTTAAGTTTAATACCGTTTCTGTCTGTGAATTTTCGAATGTCCAACGCCAAAATAGATCGGCATATTTTAAAAAAATTCACAAATGCAAAAGTCATAGACAAATCGCAACCTAATGCTTGTCTTATAAATATTTAATTAGAACATCTTCACCAAGTCCAAATAAACTGCATATTATTTAATTTTATACCTTTAAGAATACGTATTCTCTTATTAAATTAGCACATGCCAAATCGCAGACGGAATTTTATGTAGTAAGCTTCGTATCTACGTAGCACAATTGTGTTATTGGTGTTAGTTTCAGTTTAATAAAAAAAAAATCTTTTTGGTTTCTATATATACTGTATGAATTTTTAATGAGATGCGATCAGTAATCTTTTACTGAATCAAAATAATGAAGTGGGATAATGGGATAAGGCAAACGAGGAAGCAATTTTATTACGGACAAAATCGCGTGCAAAACCAATGCCAAATTTTAATAAATAAGGATCCAATTCAATATCAATGAATGTCTTGTAAAAGTGACTTTAATATGCTCGGGGACAAGAAGACAATACGCGCGAGACGCACTTAACAGCTCAGCTTAGCTTAATATTTAATTTATGAGTCCACAATTTACTCAAATTTTACAACTGCTATTTGACGTTTTCATTAAATCCAAATTGCCCTTAAATCTGCGTGATTCATTTGTTATTTTAAACTTAAATTAGTATTATGTTTTAATACTTTAAAGCCTAAAGATTTTCAAGCGATATTTTGTTAAGAGTGGCTTTTGGGTTATTAATTATACTTTAAATACTATGAAGAGTTGTTTGTTTGTTTGCTAATATTAGGAACTACTGGTTCGAATTGAAAAATAATTTTTGTGTTGGTTAGAACACTTATCGAGAAAGGTTATAAAACATCGCGCTATGACTAATGAGTGCAAAGAAACAGCGTACAAAACGGGGAAAATTATACACCTTTGTGGGTTTCCGATGACATGTCAAAATCTAAAAAAGTATTTTTATTTATTTAAATAGATACTTTTTTTTAGATCTGCCGCCCTTATATGTTTAGCAATTTTCAACCAATCCCATAATTTTATTTAACGTTGAGAAAACCATTTTACCTAATTGCTTAGTTGAAACTTGTACAAAACATTAAATTTAATTTTTATTTAGCCAATTATTTTGGTTCAGTTTATCTCTTAATCTCAACGTGGACATTAAAACACGGAAAACGAGAACACGAATGGCGACCGTTTAAATATCTAGCTAATTTATTCTCAGCGCCATCTCCAGCAGCCATTTTATATCGGTTCAATAAAACTATTTATTATAATCCTGTTATCGCCATATTTGGCTACAAGTCTACTTTTCTAAACGAGGTTAATATCCTCTTGGCCAAATGTGTTCTCGTGACGGTCAACTCACGCTTGTAATTACAATTTAAACAACAATGTTAATAGGAAAATAACAACAAAATTGAGCAGATACATTTCTGTGTCTGATACAAACGGAATCAAATATGCCTTGGTTATTTGGTTGGTTATTGACAAACTGGGGTCTCCCGAGTTCAAACCCAGGAAACTCAACGTAACGTCTCACAACTACACCACATCTTGACATATAGGAAACACACATATATTGTTTAGCTTTCAATCTTTAAAGATTGTGTCATATTTCCGGTAATTATGTATTTTTATTGAGCAAGCCGTGGTGAGGAAAACGGTATAGTTAAAATAACGACTTCAAAACATCCACGAATATCAGAATTACCTTGATATAAATAATGTGTTTATTCAAACAAATTAATAATTGGCTGCCAGAACAAATAATTTTCAACAAAAAAGCTTTTTAACTTAATCGTTTTAATGTAGGTAATCAAATAATTATCATTTTAAAGCTCGATGTAATTTCGATATAATTAAGAATGTATTAAGTTGATTAAAAGCATTAGTTTTTATCGAAAAGTAATGTTTGATTTTTATTGTCAACCCTCAATCGTACTGATTGAAAAATTATAGACAAGATATACTACCGACCTGTATTTTGATAATCGCTAATCCACAGACTGAAATAGAAATGCGATTAAACTTCACGGCTTTAAATACTGTCTATAGTGTGTCTCCCCGTGACCACGGCGGCTGCAAAGCATCCGAAACGTCGGGCCGACGTTAAAAATCATTTTCAATTAATCTTAACTAATATATCGCGTTTTAAACCGTTAAAGTGGTTTGTTTAAATCTTTACGGTGTTTTTTATCTGGGGACAGTGATAACCCGGACGGAATATTAATATTCCTACCACCAATTTAATATACAGACTTTCAGATGAAGTCCAACACGTTTCTGAAAAATTATAAATTGACCTATTGGGGATCGAACCCACGCCCCGATGATTACTATCCATACATTGCTAGCATTAGACTAACAAGCCAAATCTACCATGTGTCGTCACCGATGTTTATCTTAAACAAATTGATTTCTGAAACCCATCGATATCCATAAAAGATAAACTACAATATTGTAGAGTTTATCTTTTATCCGCTATGAATGTTGCAATGCTGGCTATCAGTGTAACAGGGTAACCTTCTTAAATTGGCCAGTGAAATTGAATCTCGCGGGTCGCATTCCATTGTTTAAAAAAATAACCATAACCTGAAAAGTTTTTGCGGTCACTTGATTTAATGTCGAACTTCGTAACTGCACTAATGAGTTATTTATAGCTCAAATTAACAGCTTGGTCACATCATACGTTATTTGATTTGATTCGGTCGGACAGGGCTCAGACAGTGGTACTTAAATATAGACTCGGAAATGCCCCACAGTGGGAAAGGGATCTGTATATTAGATTTATTTAATAAGCGTATTAAAAGATGTTGATATTAAAAAAGTCGAAAGGAATCGAATCTACTAAATTGATACTAGTCAGTTAGAAGAACCTTACAAAGTGTCAATTTTTAAGAAAGTCGCTTTGTAGGCTTTTAGATAAAAAGGCAGTTTAATGTAAAATGTATTTTATTCTTCAGCCATGATTGAAAAGATATATAGAAACTATGCCCATGATTTATTCTACCGTGAAAAACAAAACTGAACTTTCAACCCCAACAAGACAGTGGTTTTAGGTTTTATTATAATTATATTTTCGCATATTTGAAATATATAAAAGAACCGTGCTTCAATTTAATGAATAAATTACGTTTTTGTCTATCAGTTCATCAGCGATTTTCCGAAGCTTTTGATGGTTATTTTATTCATTAAAACCACTGTTAACCAAGGAGATAACCGAAGTTTATAATTTATAATTACCTACCAAGGCCTACTGCCTACTTAAATTTTCTACTGCGTGTATTGTGCTTTTTACTGTTTTTCTTTCTGCTATTAAACGTTAATTAAAATGGGTTGCATTCATTTAATGATTATTTATGTATCAATCTCACTAACTTATGTAAACAGGTTTTAGCTCAAGTATTGGCGTATTTACCCGAGTTGTACACATTTAAATAAAATCATTTAACGGTTTAATACGCTAAATATATGGACCGTGACCATGATTTCAAAGCCTCCGAAACTCGGACCGTAGAGAAAATAAATTGTAAATAAGTTAATATATATATATATCGCGTTTTAAACCGTTAAAAGTTTTTTATTTAAAATGTTTAAGATTATTAGAAACTGTCAAGTGTTGGTAAAATAGCAGCCTAATAAATAGGTTTAATTACCAAACGTCCCGAAACCAAGACTTCATTTCTAGTCTAGAATTAGACCTAGATTAAAGAAGAAATACTTCCAAAAGTTATTATGTATAAACCTAGTCTATAAGAACTGAAACTTTAACTTTAAAGGAATAACTTTTCTTAAAGTTAGGCATAGTTGATAAATCATTTTCATAAGTTTTGTTTCTTCATAGATGTCCACTCCCTATTAGCAACGAATGCTAAACAATTGCTGAAACAATCAACAAAGTTGAAAGCTAAAAACTGTTGAAAAGATGTAGGCTTTCAGTTATCACGTATCACGGTAACACACATTAAGGCTCCGTCGCCAAAATACACGCACACATGCACACAAATGCCGAATACTTGCGGTATCGGACGTAAGAGGTAATATAAGAGTCGCATCTTCGAGTTTGTACAATTTAGTTTCATAAGCGGGTTGCCTGAGTGGGCATGTTAGCAAATTTTAGCACGACTCAAGCTTAACTGGCTCTCAGGAGCCCTGTGTTCTCGACGGGAATAGAAGACTGAACCTCGGGTGCGCGGTGGTATCGCACCACCACCCGTGCCATGGCGCCGGGAATTTTATTTTATATTTTGGTAAGTCTATATTAAGATTTAACTTAGAATTACTATAGTGCATTCTATTATAGATATTAGTAGATAAATAAAATTTATATTATATTTTTTTCAAATCTTAAACCGAAGTACGAATATAAATCAATATTAGACAATTAAATGCTATATGCTAGTATGTAATGTTTAATAATATTTAAAGGTAAATTTATTTAATTTAAATTATTATTTAAATTAAAATGTTCTACAGCTTTTTATGCAAAGCATAAACTTGGATCCCAGTAGGATCAAAAATAAATTTAAAAAAAGAAAGTATGAAATGAATTTAGTGATATTTAGTTAAAAACTATATGAAAATTAATTGGTTGAAGTTCTGATAAAAAGCTTTGGGAAGACGCCTAGATATACGAATTGGTATCTATAATAATTCAATTTAATTTATAATAATAATGGAGTGACAAGAAAATGGTCAGCCGTATTTTAATATTCTAACGTTTCTCACACAAGTGCCTAGCCACAAAAACACCATTCCAATAAAATATGCAAATGATCAGCAGTCGAAAGTTTTTTTGTGCAAAAATAAATGGCAATGGAGGACGCATTTTAAACATATATTTAGCTATATCGACCTTGAACTTTAGCGCGTTTTACAGGGTGTTCTCATTTGTAGGTAGGGGCGCGACCAGCTAAAATTAATAGTAGCCCTTAATTCATGACCGGTTAAACGGTATGGGTAAACACAAACACATGGGTCTAAATCGTGAAGTATATTAACTAAGGTCAACAAACAGGATATCTATTAGGAGACGTCACTCTACCCACATTACAATAATGAACAATTTTATAAACAAAATACAAAAACGTGTTAGGCCTTAGAGTTTGCTGTTTCTATGGCGCAGTTATTTTACAAAATATGAATAAAGTACGAGACTTGGGCTTTTCAGTTCAACCGAGCTGAACAGTTACTTATTCTATTCCAGTTCAAAGTTTATTGGACAAATATAAACCGTAATTTGAACGAATTTCAATTCAGATTCAGTTCAAATTACTTTGGTTTCTCAATATCAATAAGGAATCTAAAAGATTCGGGATCACAAAATACACATTAAATGCTTATTAAATTATAAGAAATCATTTCAAATGTAGTTACCTACTTTTTTTTTTTAACACCTTGTCAAATGTATGACTTTTGATACTTAGATATTTAAATAGTTTACGAAATCCTACTTATATATAAAAAAAACTTCTAACTCAAAGTAATAATAATTAAACAGCTGGCACATTATAGTCATATATTTCATATTAAGGCGTCTTACCCGAAATTTCTTTGAAAATAGAAAATGGTTTACGACTTTTTTTACCATTGCATACAATCTAATACCTAAAAATAGCCTTGTAATTAGTCAGTACAAGAAGACCTTAGTCTTGAAAGCAAAAAATCAGCCTTGCAGTCTATGAATTTCACTAATTTAAGTTTATTAAAATTACTTTATAAATTAAAATGTAATATTAATATTGGCAATTTATTAAAACTTTTTAAAATTATTTGTGACAACCCTAACAACACAGACGAGGTTGTGGATGTGTCATAATGAAAAAGAGAGCTTCTAAAATCAAACGAACTGAAACTAAACCACTTGAAAAAAAATTAATAAACCTGTTGTTGAAAAAAACAATTACAGTAAGATGGATGTTCATTACAGTTCATGGTGATTAAGACTGTACATTTTTTTTAGTTAACCGTTTTGGATTAGTTGTTCATTGTATAGGTACGTTAAACGCGAAAGGTTTCGGGTTCCAACCTCGACTGAAACAAGAAATAGTTACAGTGACATGGACAGTGATCAACCACTTGTGTGAAAATCCAGTCAATCAGACAAACTAACACAGAAATGTCTTCATACACCACAGTTACAAAAAGTTTGGCTATAGTGTATAAAAACCTTATTTTTTAAATACTGTCTATAGTTTACGCGAGTAGTACATATTTAAATAAAACACTTCAACGGTTTAAAACGCGATATATTCTCCCCGTGAGCACGGCTGCTGCAAAGCATCCGAAACGTCGGGCCGAAGTTAAAAAATCGTTTTCAAATAAGTTTAACTAATATATCGCTTTTTAAACCGTTAAAGTGTTTTATTTAGCCTTATCTATCTTATATATTTATCTAGTTTACAAATTAAAGTTAACATAAAGATGAATAAATATTATAGTAACGAAAAATTTTACTAATACTTACACAAAAATTTAGCATGTTTTTTTTTACACAAATTTAACACTTTTTTATTTAAGTCTAAACTGTTTTCAAAGTAAACATATCTATTCTGAGAACTAGGCGACTAATTTAATTTAAGTAATTTATTTGTCCTAAAATTAAAATTATTTAAATTTTGTAGTTATTTAAAAAAACACATTTTTTGTTTAAAAAAACACATTGACTTTGTTTCTTGTTGTATCTCTGAGTTTCCTTTTATATAATAAATACAACTTTGAATCTCATAATATTATGATTTGTAAAATGCTTGTGTATATCGTATATTGATAGAATATATTAACATTTTTAAATACGATTACGCACCATATCCAATTCATTATGCTATTTCTATCGTTTATTTTTTTATTTACTTGAAATAGGATGTTGTCGAGAATTTTTTTGTGTATCAAATGTCATCTGGATAACTCACGAACAAGACTGTTAACGGTTAGGAACATATATCATGAAGGTCACAAAAATGATTTTACACTAAACGACTAGAAAACTAAAAAATATGAAGCCAAAACCTTCTTTATTTAATATATTTTAGAATGTTACTTTAATTATTATTACTTTATTTTTAACTATAACTAACATTATATTTAAATATTTTAACGCGATTGTATGAACTTAAAAGTACAGATTGTTCTTAGGATAAACTAATTCCACCAGTAGCATATATATGAGGCCGCCAGAGGCAGAGTAGCCTAAGTGCAATTTTATGATTTGAGTTATATATTTTTATAGTCTAAAAATATTAATTTAATTAATAATATGTTAATTGCGCATTTCTATTTTCTTCCATATTGAAAATCATGTTTTTTTTGTTATTAGGCCACTTTTCCTCTAGCAGCCTTATATACTCCTCTACAAACAAGTTTAAAAACTACAGTTATTTTACAACATTAGTCTTCAGTAAACATTATGTACAAACGTCACTGTATTTCCCTTCTATCATTACATACTGGAGGTATGAACAAAACATTAATTAAGTGAACATTATTTAAAGAACAACTCTTTATTACACTGCAAACACAAGTTAAGTAGCGTTTCGGATGTCCCCTGCCCATTGTTAGTTACATATTTGCATATCATACCATCTCCGCCAAATAAAACCTCAATTAGTCTGAGTTCCAAATATGACGGATTCAGTAAACAAAGAAAAAGTAGCTCGGCAGACATCATTAGCTTAGTTCCCATTGTATGGTTTGCATAATGTGCGATAACGTTGAGTTGGCACAGTGACACTTGTTCCGTTAACAGATCAATGAAGAGCTTACGTAGTTGACTGAGTCAGAGGTCTGTAGCAGGCCTATTACGAAAATCGAAACATGACATTTCGATCAATCGTTCATTCACCTACTTAACTGTTTCGTATACGGATTTTGAATCGTTCTTGTTAAAAAAATATTAGACACTTTTGTGCGTACATACCCTCTTAAAAAACATCTAATCGTTTTCACGTTATCAATGAAAATTAAAACCTTTGATTTGAGTATAATTACACGATTAAATTTAAATTGATACTCAATTATTTGACTTAAGTAACTAATGCTTATATAATAATAATAATAATATAATAGTTAATAATAATAATATAATAGTTATGTTTGTTACAAGAATGCGCATCAAAATTACTCATAATTTATTAATTATAATTCGATATGATACACAATACAATCACATATACAATAAGTAATATTTATTTAAATCTATGCATTAATACAGGTTAAATTAAGTAATTTAGAAAACTTTAAATAAAACACTTTAACGGTTTGAAACGCGATGTATTGCAGCAGCTGTGGTCACGGGGAGACTGCATAGCATTCGAAACGTCGGGCCGAAGTTGAAAATCATTTTTAAATAAGTTTAACTAATATATTATCGCGTTTTAAACGGTTAAAGTGTCTTATTTAAATGTATACTACTCGCGTAAACTATAGACAGTATTCAATTTAGAAAGCTTTTGAAAATATTCTTGTATTAACTTGTTTCTTATTAAAATTCTTAAACTTAACGAAAGTGACCATACTAGTAAAAAGAATAAGGCGAATTTGTTGCATCAACGGATTTGCGAGCAATTCAAGATATAGATCATACTGAAATATAAATACAATGGACGGCCTTCCCATTTTGGACAGTCAGATAAAAATGTCAATCCGCAACCTGCTATTGAGTACAATGATGTAAAGAAGTGAACATAACAGGACATTGACATCGATTTACGAGCTGATCCCCTTAATGGGCGTGCCAGTCAACCTGAGCCTTTATATCCATTCAACTGTCAATCATAACCTCAAAATGCAGAATCATATGCGGAACAAAGATCCTTCAAGTTTTAGTATTCCCGCTACAATTGAACTTGACAGTGACATCAAATCCTTTCACATTTAACATATAAAACGTGGTGGACCAAGAAATGTACCTATAAAGTGTTCCCCTATAAGCGTAACATATTTTTCTACCTCCTCGGGGCACCCTTGGTCTAGCCCAAACGCCCGGTTAGTATTCGAGGTCCCGTCGGGACTCAATACGTAATAGTCATTCAAAAAAACATATTTTTCTATTCTTTACGATCGGTTGTCGTTATAAGCTTTTTCATTTATAAGTAGTCTTTATCCGCTATTTTTTGTTTTGACCTGTCAATTGTTATTACTTAAATGACCGTTATGGCGTCCAAGTGAAAAAATAGAATACATCAACACTAAATACATTTAAAGATGCAAACGTCGCTATCTCGTGGACAGTCGAGCTGAAGCGAGCTTTTCA